TTTAAAGCCCTTTGAACAGTTTGCAGTTTGTACTGAAACTCTCATTTGGACCTTGAACCGTTTGGTTCCCACTGAAGTCCATTATATGGAGAAAAATGCTGGAATGTTTTCATCAAAAACCTTCATTTCTTTTCGACTGAAGAAAGAAAGACATGGACATCTTGGATGACATGGGGGTGAGTAAATTATCAGCAAAGGTTTTTTCAAAAGTGAACTACTCCTTTAATAATTTTATCAGCACTAAATAAATTAAAGTTTATTGCATAGTCGATGTTATAGGTATTTTTTAAAATCATGTCATATTTTATAATGATATCCTGGCTATGGATGCTTTAATCATTGTATCTGTCTTTCAAAGATGTCAGGTAAAAAGCAATTATGCATCCTCTCATTCATCCTGAGAAGAAAGTCCTCTAAAAAGGCCAGATTAGAGGATCATTTGCTGATCTTTTTCCAAACCTGTAAATCTAATGACATACAGTTAATGTGACTGATGCTGAATATATATGCAAATATATATATATATATTTGTCTGTGCGCTTTTGACCAGCTGCATGTGCTAATTGTGTTGCGCAGGTATGCCCACCTGTGTGCTATAAGATCAGCTCCATTCATGCGTCCACACTTGCATCTGTTGGTTTTGTTCGTCCTGTGCTGTGTTTGAGAGCTGTGTAGCTTTATGACTCAGTGGAGTGAGAGATGATGAGATGATAGTCACTCCTCCACTCAACCTATAATTCAATTCTGGTTCCTTATTCACCCAGATCTAATGCGAGACTCTACGCCGACTCGTACAAAAATAACCTGCATTTGGGAAGCCGAAACGGAAATGTCAGTGTTATTTCTTGATAATGATCATGATAATGAGAACTTCACTGAATTGACAGACACACAAACTCATAGATAACTTGGTTGTTGTCATCATCACTTTGATCAAAGAGCACAAAGGCATCTTTATTTTCATAATGCAGTCTTCATTTTTAAATCATCTAATTCCTGATTTGCTTTGATCTCCTCTGAATACAGTTTCTTTCAGTTCACATGCATTTTTTTTGCTACATTTCAGTTACATTTCAGTAAACTAATAATAATAATAATAATTTATAAAATAATAATATTTTATATTTATTTTTAACATCCTGAATTATCTTAATAATAAAAATACTACTTTTATTTCTTTAACATTTCTTATTTTATATATTTATTTTATCATCTTTATTAGTAATAATAATGATGATAATTTACTTTTGCTCTATTATGCAATATAATTGTTCTATAAAATTTGTGTTGTATGATATTAATAAGTAACTTAATATTAATAATAATAATAATAATTCATTATGCAGTTATATTTTATATTTATTTTATAAAATAAATAGTAACTTATTGATAATACTAATAATAATTATAATCATAATAATTAGACTTATTAATTAACTTAATTTCTCTAAATAATATGATTTTATATTTATTTATCATTAGTTAGTAAAAAATAATATTGATAATTAACTTATAATGCAATATTGCTCTCTAAAAGCAGCAGCTAGAGTTCTTATAGAACCAGGAAGTATGACCATATCTGCCTGGTTATGTCAACACTGCATTAGCTCCCTAATTAACAATGTATACATTTTCAACTACACGTGGAAGATCCTTTTCTTATTTAGCCCCAGTTTAAATCTAGACTAAAAACACTTCTCTTTAACCTGGCCAGATCCAGATCAGATGATGGACCTGCTGGACACGACCACAACGCATGATGTAGTCAGCCGGATCCGGGCCGTATCCAGATCAGATGGTGGACCTACGCCTAGACTTGACCACAATGAATGATGTAGTCAGCCGGATCCGGGCCGCATCCAGATCAGATGGTGGACCTACGCCTAGACATGACCACAACGCATGATGTAGTCAGCCGGATCCGGGCCGTATCCAGATCAGATGGTGGAACTACTACTAGATACGACCACAACGCATCATGTAGTCAGCCGGATCCGGGCCGTATCCAGATCAGATGATGGACCTACGCCTAGACACGGCCACAACGCATGATGTAGTCAGCCGGATCCGGCCGAATCCAGATCAGATGGTGGACCTACGCCTAGACATGACCACAATGAATGATGTAGTCAGCCGGATCCGGGCCGTATCCAGATCAGATGATGGACCTGCTGGACACGACCACAACGCATGATGTAGTCAGCCGGATCCGGGCCGTATCCAGATCAGATGGTGGACCTACGCCTAGACTTGACCACAATGAATGATGTAGTCAGCCGGATCCGGGCCGCATCCAGATCAGATGGTGGACCTACGCCTAGACATGACCACAACGCATGATGTAGTCAGCCGGATCCGGGCCGTATCCAGATCAGATGGTGGAACTACTACTAGATACGACCACAACGCATCATGTAGTCAGCCGGATCCGGGCCGTATCCAGATCAGATGATGGACCTACGCCTAGACACGGCCACAACGCATGATGTAGTCAGCCGGATCCGGGCCGTATCCAGATCAGATGATGGACCTACGCCTAGACACGGCCACAACGCATGATGTAGTCAGCCGGATCCGGGCCGTATCCAGATCAGATGGTGGACCTACGCCTAGACATGACCACAATGAATGATGTAGTCAGCCGGATCCGGGCCGTATCCAGATCAGATGGTGGACCTGCTACTAGATACGACCACAACGCATCATGTAGTCAGCCGGATCCGGGCCGTATCCAGATCAGATGATGGACCTACGCCTAGACACGGCCACAACGCATGATGTAGTCAGCCGGATCCGGGCCGTATCCAGATCAGATGGTGGACCAACTCGTAGACATGACCACAACGAAGTGTCAGCAGAGGTTGTGTCAACTAGACTCCCCCTGTGAAGGCCTCATCAACACGACAGCCATCTGCACTAATACTCAACAAACTCGTCTCCATACCAGCATGACTCTGATTTTAAACCAGATGGAACTGGATAATAATCACCCGTAATGCTGCCTGAATCATAATCAGAACCCAAGGTTTTTTTCCTCCATTCTCCACACCTGATTTTTGGAGTTTTGGTTCCTTGCCACTGTTGCTTTTTTTTTTTTTTTGGCTTTATCGCCTTGGTTGCCATTGGATTTTGGCTTGCTCAGTTGGGGACACTTAACATTCAACAATATTATTGATCTGTTTGCATTTACACCATTATATGAGAACTGAACTGAGCTGAGCAGGATGATGACATCACTCTTTTCTCCAGAGCGGCTGTATAGGCTAGATAAATTAACTAAATTAATACCTTTTTTACAATAGAAATGAACCATCACTGAACTTAATGGACTATGACACTATTTTCTTCTAGATCTGCTGTACAAACTTTGTTGCATTATTTTTCCTGTTTTAAATATCACTAAAATATGACTTTAAATATCATTTTATTTGTATAACGTAATAACACTAATATTTTATTGTATAATTATATTTCTATTTATTTTATAATATCAATATATAACATTAATAATATTTAAAACGATAATGGTAATAATAAGCTCATTATAAATTTATTTTCTATTTATTTTTCAATATTAATAAGTAATAATAATAATTAATTATTTTTGCTCTATAGAAAGCAAGGTGATTGTTTTATAAGTACAAATTACAGTATATTATATTTATTTTATAATATCAATACGTATTATTGAGTTACTCCCTGCTGTTGAGCTGTGAAATGGTGGTGATGTTCCTACATGACATTTTTATCCTTCAGACCAGCAGCTCTTTCTCACAGAGAAAGCTAGAGCTCTCGTGTGGGTTTGGTGTAAAACCCTCAGCGATTTCGCGGTGCAGTGGGTACGGCGTGGGTGCGGCCCGGCCCGGTCGCTCAGCCTGATCCAATGCCATCACTCTACCATCTGTTCATCTCTATTTCCAGCCCTGAGATCCAGATCCAAATCAAAGGAGGAACGACAGGGCCTCAGGCTGCTTCCATATGCGAAGCTCCATCCTGGACCCATACAGAGGTAATATGTTTAATACACACAAATATAAAAAGATTTCTAGAACAGTAAGTGTGCAATGACAAACACTCTGGATAGAGAAACTGTACAACAATTTATCAAAGACAGATGTGTCCTACATTTATCAGCCCTAAAAACTATACAATGCTTTTCATAAGTTCTTTATCTGAATGATAAATGAGTTTAAACAATCCAAACACTTTTAGGTTATGTAGGTCAACGTGAGCTGCAGAAATAAATTCCTCCTCATGACTGACCGTTCTGCTGATCATGAAGACTTCATCCTGTCAGTCAAAGTGCTGACATCATCACCAGACAGTCACAGACTCACTGACCCTGTCAGCATCAGCACAATGAAAAACATCAAACCACAATGAACAACCTGACGATGCATTTTATACACATTAATACAACGGTAGTAAGCTATAGGGTACAGCAACTGTATATCTTGTAACCTCTTGGTTATGCCTTTATTGTTGATTGTGTGTAGTTGCCGTTTTAATGTTGATGTCACATCTCATAAGTGAGCTGTTTCTGACATCTAGCGGTGGTTAAATGCACTGCATCAGAGTAACGCTCACGTGGCCGTGATGTCACTACATTGTTTTGTTTTGCTCGTAAATTAGGATTTATAATTCTCTTATGTCGTGTTTTCGTTTATATTCTGGTATTACTTGTATAGATGAGCCGGTCCACTGATATCCTCGGATTCAGAGTTGATTGTTATTGCTCTGAAACTAGATATCTCTTCATTCGCCCACGTTTCACTACGTCACTCCATTCCCATGATGCAACGCGAAAGTAAGCAAAAATATTTTTTAAAATGCTATTTTTGCTCATTTGCATATTTTAGACGCACCGCTCGATTGATATCAGCACTTATGTTTGGTCCTACTTTTTCACTTGGTTAGCTTGTCATGGGCGACATTTTGTTACCGTCTCTGTAAAGGGTTGCATGTTTGATGTGATAGTGACCGTGTTACATTGTATCTTTAGCTTTGCGCAGTGGCAGTATCGTAGCCTATGAGGTTTATCCGAGGCGCGATTATTGCTAATTGAAAACTTTACCCAATACCCCGCCGTGACGACTTGAAATATAGTCGGCACTGGCAATTTTTGACGGTCTTTACGGAGACTGATTACCCTGGTAAAAAAATATATTCAATTTATGTCCGAGTAACGCAATAGACAGTGCAGTGGACAATAAAATCAATTTTACATATTAGAAGTTATCAAAGTTATAGCTTCAGAATTGTACATCTACTGTTCAGATTATCTTCGTGTACCTCCCTCCACATTGCAAGCAAGTTGTAAGTCATCGTGATTTGACTATTTTCCCCTTCAAACTAAGATGCTCTGGAATATCCATCCATTCCTTCTATCCCAGGAGACTCTTGTAAGTAAAAAAAAGCATCAAGCAATATCGAATAAGTCATCACAGTAAAAGGTTTGATTGGGAGAAAAATCTGTTTATCACCTGTTCACTATAGTGGACCTCATGCATCAATTGCTATATTTTAGCTATTTTATACTTATACTGTATTGTTTTTGAAAATACTTTTTTGACTGTAAATAAAAATATTTGTGTAATTTTCATTGACATCGAAAAGTTATATAATTACATAATGTATGTGACTTGTAATGCGTTACTCATTTCATCAAAAAGTAACCTGATTACGTAATGCATCACTTATTTGATCAAAACATTATCTGTTTCTGTAATGAATGTTGCTTGTAATGGATTTATTTACTCATAACATAAAAAAGAAATCTGATTACGTAATGCATGTTACTTATAATTAATTGTTAGATCAAAAAGTAATCTGATTACGCAATGAACATTTCTTGTAATTAATTGTTAGATCAAAAAGTAATCTGATTACGTAATGCATGTTACTTGGAATACATTACTCTTAACATTTAAACAAATCTAATTATGTAATGACTGTACTTGAAACACATTACTTGTTACATCCAAAAAGTAATCTGATTACTTAATGCATGTTACTTGTAATAACTTGTTAGATTAAAAAGTAATCTGTTTTCATAATGCTCGTTATTGTAATGCGTTTGTTTACTTGTAACGACAAAAAGTAATCTGATTACATAATGCACATTACTTATAATTAATTACTTGTTAGATCAACAAGTAATCTGATTAGGTAATACACATTTTTGTAATTAATTGTTAGATCAAAAAGTAATCTGATTAGGTAATGCACATTACTTGTAATTAATTGTTAGATCAAAAAGTAATCTGATTATGTAATGCATATTACATATAATTAATTACTTGTTAGATCAAAAAGTAATCTGATTAGGTAATGCACATTTCTTGTAATTACTTGTAAGATCAAAAAGTAATCTGATTTAAAAAAGTATTTTGATTAGGTAATGCACATTTCTTGTAATTAATTGTTAGATCAAAAAGTAATCGGATTAGGTAATGCACATTACTTATTAATTACTTGTTAGATTAAAAAGTAATCTTATTATGTAATGCACATTTCTTGTAATTACTTGTTGGATCAAAAAGTAATCTGATTAGGTAATACACATTCTTGTAATTAATTGTTAGATCAAAAAGTAATCTGATTAGGTAATGCACATTACTTGTAATTAATTGTTAGATCAAAAAGTAATCTGATTACGTAATGCATATTACATATAATTAATTACTTGTTAGATCAAAAAGTAATCTGATTAGGTAATGCACATTTCTTGTAATTAATTGTTAGATCAAAAAGTAATTGGATTAGGCAATGCACATTACTTATTAATTACTTGTTAGATTAAAAAGTAATCTTATTATGTAATGCACATTTCTTGTAATTACTTGTTAGATCAAAAAGTAAACTGATTAGGTAATGCACATTACTTATAATTAATTGTTAGATCAAAAAGTAATCTGATTAGGTAATGCACATTACTTATTAATTACTTGTTAGATTAAAAAGTAATCTGATTATGTAATGCACATTTCTTGTAATTACTTGTTGGATCAAAAAGTAATCTGATTAGGTAATGTACATTTCTTGTAATTAATTGTTAGATCAAAAAGTAATCTGATTATGTAATGCACATTTCTTGTAATTAATTGTTAGATCAAAAAGTAATCTGATTATGTAATGCACATTTCTTGTAATTACTTGTTGGATCAAAAAGTAATCTGATTAGGTAATGTACATTTCTTGTAATTAATTGTTAGATCAAAAAGTAACCTGATTACGTAATGCATGTTACTTGTATAAAATATTACTTCACTCGTAACATTTAAACAAATCTGATTATGTAATGAATGTACTTGGAACACATTACTTTACTTGTTGCATCAAAAAAGTATTCTGAATTTGTTATTCATGTCTTATAATGCATTACCCCAACACTGCTAATTTCAGATGAGATTGAAAAAAAAAAAACCTATCGCTAGGGTTTCTTAAAAGAGGGGTATGCTGGAAATGTGTCAATCTTGAACATAATCAGAATTATCAGCTAATAAGGGTAAATTGACATACTCTGACACACTGGAGGAACATCCGAGTGGTTTCCACAGTTGTACATTGACAGGCTGTAGAAAATCCTGATGGAATCACGTCCTCATGTTCTGATATCAAAGATACCCAAAGTGCAAATTGTATGAAGGTCAATTGCCTTTGCAATATTTCGGATTTATATTTTCTAATATATTTTATAGTTTTCACATGATTTGATATAATTGTATAGATTAGTTTGTTAAATACATAGTATAGATTAGTTTGTTAAATACATACTTTATATGTTTGATTATTGTATGTGTAATACAGCATCTCTTCAATAAATGCATGACATCTGAAAATCTCTTTGAAAAATTTGTTAAAAAAATTGAATAAAATCTTTTTTTATGCCCCAAGAGCAATAGAAACACATAAAAAAGTCCTGACTGAGATTATCATAATTCATGCATGAAAAGGTTAAATAATAATTAAAATACTATTTTTATATCAGTTAAAATACTATTCCAAACTTGGGCAGAAGATAGAAGTCAAAATAGTATATGAAAGAATTAAAAAAAAAAAAACATTTTCTATCAGACCCCAGATCCTGTGTCAGTTATAACTATGGTAACTCCAAGTTCTTATTTAAATATGCAAAACTGTTACCCAATCACAGCAGTGGGCGTTTACTTCAAGTCTTGAATGGCATGGCCATGAAGTGTTTGAAAGAGAGGGTCAAAAACAGGATAATAAATAGCATTTACTTTTAAATTAGGATGTTTTTTGATGTTACATTATAAGTGGACCAAGCATTTTAAAAATGCTGTTCATGACAACACACGAAATGCAAACGAGCTGTCTTATGCAAACCTTTGAACTAGCATATACAAGAAAATGCAAATGAGCTTTTAGGGTTGCAAACAGAACTGCCTTTCAAAGTAAATCCACACAGGATGTAGTTTACCCCGTATTTTAATGTATTTAGATATGATTTTATATATATAAAAAATAATGCATTACAAAGAACATGTAAAATCAAAATAAGACCTGAATAGTGAATAAGACCAGAAAAATGTACGTAAACTCAAATAAGACCAGAATCCATGTATCTAATAAAAGTAGAGCTTTGTTTATAGTAATTCTGCCTATATTCATTCAATTGAATATCTGTACAGGAAGCCCCCAGATTATCTGAAATCCCGTACCTAAATAGAGGTGCGTTCCATTCGACCATAAGTGGACTTTACAGGGTATTTCGCTATCTTAAAAGGTCCCATTCTTTGTGATCCCATGTTTCAAACTTTAGTTAGTGTGTAATTTTGTTGTTAGAGTATAAATAATATCTGTAAAATTATAAAGCTCAAAGTTAAATGCCAAGCGAGATATTTTATTTAACAGAAGAAGCCTACATCGAATGGCCCGTTTGGACTACATCCCTCTACTTCCTTCTTTAATGACGTCAGTAGAACAGTTTTTTGATCATCAGTCGGACCTGGTCCGAAACAGCAGACTTGTATGCTATTAATAAATAATGGATGCATACAAGCAGATGACAAATACGTTATAATCGTAATTAAACTACTAAACTATACCTGTTCCATCTCTATATAGCACTCTGACTCCGTAGGCATTATTGTCCGACTCGAAATGAACACCGTTACTGAGAGTTTCTGATATTGTCATCATTCTGTGAGATTAAGCGCGAGCTCATGAAGCTCCGCCCCCTGTGCCGGCAGCAGCAGCAGCTTATTTGCATTTAAAGGGCACACACTAAAACAGTGCGTTTTTCTGAGCCCCAAAAAATGACAATTTAAACATGCTGTAAAAAATGATCTGTTGGGTTTTTTGAGCTGAAACTTCACATACAAATTCTGGGGACATCAGAGACTTATTTTAGGGGAATAAGAAGGGGATAATACAGGACCTTTAAGTGAGATTCCAATCTGAAGTGAACGAACATGTTCAGTTCGAAGGGCACTGAAAACGCCGTAGGGAATAAGGGAACATCGAAACATCACTTCACAGGAAGTGGCGAGTGAAAATCAACATACTGTCATTGTGCACCGCATCATCAGTCGGAACCAAGGGGGTAATCCATCGACCGGAAGTTGAAGCCTCGCGGGAGCTGCCATCTTGTATACAGAACTTCACTTGCGTTAGCATTCCCATTGACTCCCATTCATTTTGACGTCACTTTGACAGCAAATAACTTTACATCTGAGGTGTTTGAAGACCCCATTTGTCCATTATTTATTTCTAAAGAAACACGACAATGTATAAAATGATCCATTACTTTGTAGCTTATGTTATGGCCCCGTAGAAGCAGTTTTTTGTAAAAGTAGGCTAACGATTGCGTCATAACCACGCGACTCTCTGTCGCACAGTAGAGAGATTACCGTATGGACAGGAGAAGAAGCTCACATGCAATCGGGGAAACGTGGAGGCAAAATGACAAAATAATTAATCAGAATACCTAGCTAAAGTTTATCCTAGCTCATGGACAGCTCCTACTCACACTCTCCGCCTCTGCAAGTTTTGGAAGGGAATGATTCAGATTTCTCATGCCACAGCCACTAGAAGACAGACGGGTTGCTCACGTCACATCTACGTCGTCAAGCTCTGTTTGAGTCGGTAGAAGAGATTTTAAATTTAAATTTCGCATTGAGTATTCTTAAATATTATTATTATTATACAAACTAGAGTATTTATGAATGTATCTATAGGCCTATATGATTTTAAATTAGAAAGGAAAGTAAATTTTAATTAAGACATTTAACATATTATTAAGTTATATCATAATCTGCGTGACCCTGTTGTTGCCTTTTTTGGATGACGTTTCAGAGCATTCCAAATGAGTGAATATTGACAGCGAAGTCCACTTCAACTGATGTACCGTGTTTAGGGAGTAGGGAGCAGTGAACACTGCGTAGGGACCCTGTCGAATGGAACGCACCTTAAAATTGGAGTGGAATATTCAAGGGCAGTTTGAAAGCCCAACCCGATGACGTCGCCCCCTATTGACTTGGCTACACTTGTTTCAACCGTTAGCATACCTTTAACATTCTGTAGTGTACACTTAAAGGGTTAGTTCACCCAAAAATGAAAATTAAGTCATTAATTACTCACCCCCATGCTGTACAAACCCCGTAAGACCTTCGTTCGTCTTCGGAACACAAATGAAGATATTTTTGATTAAATTTGAGAGCTGTATAACTACCACATTGGCTCCTAAGGGACTGCCTCTTGACGGCCCAAAAAGTCAATGAAGAAAATGTTTAAATATCCCAAGTGACTACCGTGGCTCAACTATATGTTTATCAAGCGACGCGAAATACTTTTTGTGCGAAAAAACAAACAAAAATAACGAGTTTATTCGACTATTTCTTTTCTTCCTTGTAGGCCAGAACGAGACTTCCTTAGATTTCCACGACGCATGCGCGAGAATTGCGATCTGAAGTGGTGTAAGCTGGTGTAAGCAGATCGCAAATCTCGCGCATGCGTCGTGGAAATCTAAGGAAGTCTCGTTCTGGCCTACAAGGAAGAAAAGAAATAGTCGAATAAACTCGTTATTTTTGTTTGTTTTTTCGCACAAAAAGTATTCGCGTCGCTTGATAAACATATAGTTAAACCACGGTAGTCACTTGGGATATTTAAACATTTTCTTCATTGACTTTTTGGGCCGTCAAGAGGCAGTCCCTTAGGAGCCAATGTGGTAGTTATACAGCTCTCAAATTTAATCAAAAATATCTTCATTTGTGTTCCGAAGACGAACGAAGGTCTTACGGGGTTGGTACAGCATGGGGGTGAGTAATTAATGACTTAATTTTCATTTTTGGGTGAACTAACCCTTTAAATACGTTTGTATGCAGTAGATAAAAAACCCAATGAAATACATTCTAAGAAGAAAAATGAAGATGACACTAAAATTTTCATACTCATTATCCTGAGCTCATTATACCGATAATACCTGTTACCCTCATATACATTTCAGTATGCTCTTTAGTTACTAGATCCAACTCGTATTACTTAAAAGTAATATTGAAGGAAAAGTCAAAACCAGCTGACAACTCTGTAACATACATATGAACTCCTTAGTGTTTAAAAAACATCCCAGCATGCATGGAGTCGAGAGAATGTTCAGAATCAGAGCCGGAATCTACACAAAGAACAAGTTTAGATTTAAGTTAAGTTTAGTTGAACATGTTTTGATCACAATTCACTACATCATTTTTATTTTGTGTTACTTTGCTATTATTATACTATATAAAACATAAAATAAGGTTCCATTTGTTAACATGAACTAACAATGAAAAATACTTCTAAAGCATTTATTTTTCTGAGATTATATTAAAATCAGAAGTTGTATGTTTTAATGGACCTGAACTAACAATGAACTAACAATGAACAGTTGTATTTTTACTTACTAACGTTAAGATTAAGATTATTAAATACTGAAACAAATATTGCTCAGTGTTATTTAATGTTAGTAAATGCATTAACTAATATTAACTAATGGAACCTTATTTTAAAGTGTGACCAAAATAGTCTGAACAGATTTGTCAATAAGTTTGATTGAAAGAGAGAGAAAAAAAAATCTAATTAATCAAAGATTAATAATGTGTAAGGAAAATCATATTTCACCTGAAGTGTCCCTTAGTATTTTATGCATTTTAGATGGTTCTTGAAAAAATTGTGACTTATTTTTGTCTGTGAATCACTTTTGGGAGGATGCCTGTAGGAACCATACTTGTCTGTGCGACCATATTTTTGGTGACCAATTCTGAGACCTTTGCAGGTGACAACTAATAAATCTCCAAGTCCGTCAACAAAGAATTCTGTAAATAAAAAAAATAAAAATTAAATCAGATTCTTGTTTCTTAAAACTAAAGTTTCTTTATTGGCATCAATGTTTCCATAAAGAACCTTCAACATTCATCTAAACTTTACATTCCACAGAAGGTTTGTAATTGTGGAAAATGTTTCTTTAGATTATTAAATAGCTCTTCACATGAAAAAAAGCTTATTTTAAGAAATGTTCACTGAGAGGTTCTTTGGGGAATCAAAAAAGGCTTTTATTCACATATAAACATTGATCAGCGAACATAAAATGAAGCTCAACCGAACCTACTTGACGTGTGAGAACAAACCTCAATGGTTCTTGAAGATGCTCAAACATGCTGCGTAACACGAGAATGAACCTAATTGGTTCTTGAAGAAGCTCAAACGTGCTGTGTAACACGAGAATGACCCTCATTGGCTCTTGCTGAAGCTCAAACGTGCTGTGTAACACGAGAATGAACCTCATTGGCTCTTGCTGAAGCTCAAACGTGCTGCGTAACATGAGAATGACCCTCATTGGCTCTTGCTGAAGATCAAATGTGCTGCGTAACACAAGAATGAACCTCATTGGCTCTTGCTGAAGCTCAAACGTGATGCGTAACACAAGAATGAACATCATTGGCTCTTGCTGAAGATCAAATGTGCTGCGTAACACAAGAATGAACCACATTGGCTCTTGCTGAAGCTCAAACATGATGCGTAACACGAGAATGACCCTCATTGGCTCTTGCTGAAGATCAAATGTGCTGCGTAACACGAGAATGACCCTCATTGGCTCTTGCTGAAGCTCAAACGTGATGCGTAACACGAGAATGAACCTCATTGGTTCTTGAAGATGCTCAAACGTGCTCATTCGTTCTTGTTGAAGCTCAAACAGGATACGCAAGACAATAATAAACCTCATTGGTTCTTGCTGAAGCTCAAACGTGATGTGTAACACAAGAATGAACCTCATTGGTTCTTCAAGATGCTCAAACGTGATGCGTAACACAAGAATGAACTTCATTGGTTCTTGCAGAAGCTCAAATGTGATGCGCAAGACAAGAATGAACCTCATTGGTTCTTGAAGATGCTCAAACGTGATGCGTAACACAAGAATGAACTTCATTGGTTCTTGAAGATGCTCAAACGTGATGCGTAACACAAGAATGAACCTCATTGGTTCTTGAAGATGCTCAAACGTGATGCGTAACACACGAGAACCTCATATTTCATAGTTCTCACACTTTTATTTTTGGCTTTTAACTATCCTTTTAAACTCTAAAATATGTTGTAACTTATTGTTGAAGCTTAATTTCACTTTGCAAGTTAATTAAACAACAGACCCCATCCAGAACGCATCGTGTGACTTCATTTGATGTGGATGTTTTCAATCAACAGTTTGAAGTCCACCTACCACCGTGAGCCACTCTTTTGTAGAACGGGTCAAAGCCGACCCGTCGCACAGCATCCGTCCGGCCCAAGAAGTAGTTGACAACTACATCCACGAAGAAGCAGCCGTCAAAACCTGGCAGAGGCGCGTGGGTACGACTGACCCGCGATATACAGCCGCCTTCATCGCTACTCCCTTCCTCATATTCCAGCTTAAACAAGAACTGATTTCCTTGTACCTCACCACCAACCTGATGGAGAGAGACAGAATAAATGAGTAATAGCCTAACTCAGGGGTGCCCAATCCTGCTCCTGGCGATCGACAGTCCTGCACAGTTCATCTCAAACCCTAATCAAACACACCTGAAGTAGCCAATTAAGGTCTTTAGGATCACATTCAGGTGTGTTTGATTAGGGTTGGAGATGAACTGTGCAGGACAGTCGATCGCCAGGAGCAGGATTGGGCACCCCTGGCCTAACTACAAAAAAGTTGACTGGAGTATTGTTCACAGGAATACATTACATTTTAAAATATATTCTATTAGAAAACAGTTCTTTAAAACTTCAAAAAAAAAATTTAATTCCATAATATTTACTATTGTACTGTTTTTGATCATATGAATGCGCAGAGAGCTGAAGATATCTAACTGACCCCAACTTTTATATTTATTTGAGGTCATCAAGATGATATAATTGACATAATTACCACATCTAGTTCAGGAACGGCTTCCATAATGCTTACAAAGCTTTCAATACGCGTCTCATTAAGGAACAAAAAGTCATCATCCACCCACAGGAAGTACTTAGTGGTGACCTGTGACACTGCCAGATTTCTGCCTGCAAACCAGCCCTGAAAGACCAAACAATATTTATAAACTTTTATACTTCAAGCAAATTACAATAACATTCAGTTTATACAACCTGATGTTTGTACCTGTGCAGGGGGCATTACATAGTGTTCTATATTCTCACCGACCACCTTCTCTGGTTTTAGACTGTCATCAGCAATAATGATCTTTATTTTTGGGTAGAGCCGACGAACACTATCGATGAGGACATTTAGTTCTTTATATCTCAAAAAAGTTTTAACTAGTACAGTCACCTGGGAGTTTATGTCTAGAGAGAGAGAGAGAGAGAGAGAGAGAGAATTATGAGCCCATGAAAGGTCAGTGTGGTGATTGATTGTGTTCACATAATAAATTAATCAACAGTCATTTGTTCAAGAGCATTGTTACTAGCTAGGTTCCCATCCAAAAGTGCAAATTTAACTGTGCAAAATTGCAATATTGCACAAAACATGTGCGATAAAGCACTGTTTTCATCTAATGCATTCCAGAGAACAAAATCAATGGAATTTGAAAATGGAAAATGGAATTTGATGCAATCAGGGAAGCCACTGTATCTTTTTGCATCTCAGAGTGTACATCATGGGCCAGTGAGAGTTGTACGTGTAAATCTCACTCCCCTGGCCTCAAAAGGACCTCTTGCAGCAGGTCGAGTAGAACCAGTTTATTGGTGCCGTGACCCGGATGGGATTGAGGTTTAGGGGGTGAGTGTACCGGATGTACATCAGTAAGAGCTGTGCATGTAAACCTCACTCCCCTGGCCTCAAGAGGCTGAATCCAGCTTGCAGCAGGTCGAGTAGAACCAGTTTATTAGTGCCGTGACCCGGATGGGATTGAGGTTTAGGGGGTTAGTGTACCGGATGTAGACTAAAGAGCTGTGCATGTAAACCTCACTCCCCTGAATCAAGCTTGCAGCAGGTCAAGTAGAACCAGTTTATTAGTGCCGTGACCCGGATGGGATTGAGGTTTAGGGGGTGAGTGTACCAGATGTAGACCAGTAAGAGCTGTGTGTGTAAACCTCACTCCCCTGGCCTCAAGAGGCGCTAGTGGCTAATGCTAGAGGCTGCTCAGAGTGGGTCGAGTAGCACCGGTTACATTTATGAGTATGAGTTTTTTGTTGAGCATCGAGGATTCATATAGCTTTCACAGACCCAATGGCCACCAAAGCGTTTTACATATTACCTCACATTCACCCATTCACTAACTCATTCAAGAGGAGTAGCGTAAGCAAGATAAGCAAGGATTTTTTTAAATTACAATACAAATCACAGAAGCTGACAAATATGAAAAAAACCTTAAAATAAAATTTAAAGTAACTAAAATAAAACTGTTCAGAAGCTTATATATATTAAATATATTGTGTTAATACTTGAGCTCACCTTTTCCCACGTCAAACAGAACAGGAACAGACAGACGTCTGATCTCAATCGGGAATATGACTTCATGGTTCTCAAAAGAGAAGTATGCTAAAGACAGAAACATTTGTAAAAATATTCTTTGTACATATAAATTGAATTGAGCAAGTCAGTACATTTAGATTAGATAAAAAAAGTATCATCAAAGTGGACCATATAACTCAATATACTGTAGGTTTGTTCATACAATAAAAGTCGGTGAGGTCTAATGTTGTTTTGGACTCCAATATTTATCAAAACATCTCCTTTTGTGTTCAGCAGAAGAAAGAAAGTCAAGCAGGTTTGGAATGACATGCGAGTATAATGGCTGAACAATCCCTTTAGGTTACGTACCGAGGTCTTGGGTCTTGATGTGGTAGATGGTGCTGGTGTAGGTCACTCTGCTCAGAAGATCATTGAGTTGTTGAAGGTTGCTGGATGAGATGCTCAGATGTTTCTCATTCAGTCCATTCACCTGCTCACCCTCCTGAACATCCACTGAGAGCAGCCCTTTCTGCACCCTTAGAGACACCTGGAGATCGATGAGCCAGATCCGATGAGCTCATTTGATTATCTTTAACATCATGAAGTCTTTAAAACAATCCACCAACATTAAAAAAAAAAATTCAAAATGGCACAAACCATCAGATTAAAGGAGGAAAATCACAGTAGACACAATAGAGAGACCGTCTGAAACAAACCAATGACTGAGATATAAAACCCATCACCTTAATTAAACCATTTTCAGCAGAACAAACCTTGTAAACCGCTCTGCTTTGTGTTTGAAGCGCTAGACCTTTAATAATGAAACATTTCTTTAATTAACATAGATAGAAATGCATTAATGTCATTGTTTAAATTAATAGCAAAACCTAAATAAACACACACACACACACACACATATATATATATATATATATACACACACACATACTGTACACTACTGGTTCAAATTTAGCAATAATTTGGATTTTTCAAAGTTTTGCATTCATTTAATCAATATTACATTAGAAAAAGTAATATTGTGAAATATTACAAAATAGAATGTAATATATTTCTGTAAAATGTCATTTATTCCTGTGATTTAAAGCTGAATTTCAGCATCATTACTCCAGTCTTCAGTGTCACACGATCCTTCGGAAATCACGATGATTTGATGCTAAATTATGATTAATTATTATTAGTGCTTAATTAATAATGGTCCTATTATTAGCAATGATGAAAACAGTTGTGTTGCTTTTTTAAAAATGTATTTATTTTTTGCAAACCATGAGAATTTTTTAATGAGTAGAAACTTTTTTTTCTAAAAACTTTCTTTAAAAGAACAGCATTTATTTTAAATTTAAATCTTTTCATAACATTATACATGTTTGCCGTCACTTTTGATCAATTTAATGTATCCTTGCTAAATAAAAGTATTACTTTCTTCCAATTTATTTTCTGTTTTTTAATCTCAATTACTCTAAACTTTTTAATGGTAATGCATCATGATGTTTCCACAAAAATATGAAGCAGCGCGACTGTTTCCAACATTGATAATAATCAGAAATGTTTCTTGAGCATTATATTAGAGTGAATGATGTGACACTGAAGACTGGAGTAATGATGCTGAAAATCCTGCTTTGATCACCGGAATAAATTGCATTTTATTCAAATAGAAAGAAAAGTGATTTTAAATTTTAATATTTTTCCTGTATTTTTGATCAAATAAATGGAGCCTTTGTGAGCAGAAGAGACAACCTTCAAAAGATCAACAACCTTCATTATTCCAAGTGTATGTGTATATCTTACATTATTCCAAGTGTGCAAATGTATGTCTCTCTGCAACTATGTGTTAATCTGAAATCAAGTAAAGGATCTCACCAGGAATGAGTGTTTTCTTCATGGGGGACACTCTGAATCCTCTGATTGGATACTGGAGTGGGGTGTTGGCAGGGGCGAGAATAAGAACATCGTTTTCTTTCCCTGTCCTAAAGACACGTGTAATTGTAATTTTAAAGTACAATACAATAGACTTAATAATGTTCAACCAAAAAGTAAACATTTTAGTTATAACTTCATATGACATCGCCTAAAGGACAACTCCGGCGCAAAATGAATCTTTGGTCTAATTACACATTGTTACCTATTCAACCATTATCTGAGATTTGTTTTCATGATAGCTGAATGTAAATAATTGTATCTCTAAAAACAGTTTAGCCTATTGAGAGTGAGGAGTCACGTGCCGATGTGGGCGGGGTCTGAGCCGTTCGGCCATTTTGGGAGGATACACCATAGACATATACACTAGACCTCACCTTGGATACGGCAGTTCATTGGAACGAATGCGTCAATAGAGCCGCCATCTTGAAACAGGGGAGCCCCTCCACTTTAATGTATCAGCGTCAATGTAGTAGACACAGGTCTAACGGAAATAAAATTACCATAAATCATCATGAATGCGATGTTTTTTTGACTTTCTTCAATACTGTGTTATGCCATTTGGGGTTAGAAATGCTCCAGCCATCTTTCAACGCCTTATAAATAAGGTGTTGTCTGGATTATCTGACTGTGACGCTTATTTGGACGATGTAGTTCTGTACAGTTCATCTTGGACCGATCACCTAGTCCAAATAAGGGAGTTATTCGTTCGTTTGACTAAGGCTTCTTTAACGTTAAATCTGGTAAAGTGCGAATTTGGGAAAGCTACTGTTACCTTTTTAGGAAAAATAGTAGGAAATGGACACGTTCGCCCCATTGAAGCTAAGATTGAGTCCATCTGTGCATTTCCAGTGCCTACAAATCGCAAAGAATTGCGTAGGTTTCTGGGAATGGCCGGATATTATCGCGGGTTTTGCCCAAACTTTGCCTCTATTGTATCACCCTTGACCGATCTTGTATCACCCTTGACCGATCTTATAAGTACTAAAGTACCCTTTAATTGGCCCAATGTTACCAGATTTTTTTTTTTGCACCAGATTTCTCAGTCTTTTTGTTTAGCTGTCGATGCCAGCGATACTGGAGCGGGAGCTGTTCTCCTACAGAGAAGTCCGGACGGAATAGAACATCCAGTTTGTTATTTTTCAAAAAAATTCAATGTCCATCAGCGAGTTTACTCTGTTGTGGAAAAGGAGACTCTTGCTCTTGTTTTGGCCATCCAACATTTTAAAATCTATCTGGGATCATCTGCAAGTCCAATCGTCGTTTATACAGACCATAATCCTTTGTTGTTTTTACACAGAATGAAGGATCGTAATCAGAGGTTAATGCGGTGGAGTCTCTTCTTGCAACCATTTTCCCTTGACATTAAACACATTCGGGGCAGTGAAAATGTCATCGCTGATGCCCTATCTCGAGTATGAGGATGTATTTTGTTCTTTCTCTTTTTTTCCCTTTCTCCCTTCTCTTTCTATCCTGTTTTCTAGGGCCCAGGAAGCAGGAGTTAGGAGCCAAGTGGAGTGGGATCAATCATGAAGAAATTTGTTGTTGTTGTTTTTTTTAATTATTTTTCTTTTGCATTCCTTAGAGGAATACATTTTGTGGGGGAGGTGTTACGCCTGCCTGTTTACCCCTACTGGCTCTGCTACACAGTGAGGGATGGGCATAAATACATGGAAATGTATTTAAATACAAATATAAAATACTGTGGGGAAAAATGTATTCAAATACAAATACAAAATACTGTGTGGAAAAATGTATTTAAATACAAATAAAGTATTTTGTATTTTGAAAATACAGAAAATACATGTGACATTGGCGATTCAGTGCAGGCATCCCTAGGCTGAAATCTATCTGGGCCTATTCTGAACGCCAGCAAATATTTAGATGTGTGCAACTACTTAGAAACTTTCATTTTTATTTTATACACCTCTTCCCTTTCCCAGCCCTGTAGGAAATACAAAACTACAAAAAAAAAAAAAAAAACTAATTTCAAACATCTTTTACTATGTTTTATCACCATCATTACCTCGCACTCAGTAACAAGAACTCAATAAGACAAAGTAAATTATATTTGATGGTGTACTCCTCCAGGTGGTGTACCTATGTGTATCAGATATCCATCTATTCGATACCCTTTAGCAACACCAGCTTTTCAAAAAGTTTGGGTTTAAGGCGTCGTCTGTGTGGCCTATTGCAAGCGCTCTACAGGAGCTGAAGAGGGAATAATTGTGTTGAACCTCACAAACAGCTGTCTAATAACTGGATACTGGTTCAAGATGTCCAAATCCTTCCTCTGATCTTCTAGGATTCTGGCTGAAAGTATTTTGAATATTTTGAAAAAATACAAAAAATACTCATCTTAAATGTATTTAAATACAAATTACATTCGGTTTTTCCCAAAGGCTTTAAAATACAAAGTAGTATTTTGTATTTCAAATACGTATTTTAAATACATGTATCTGAAATACTGCCCATCCCTGGCAACAGGTGTATACAATCCCTAAATAACTCATTATAGGGGGTCGTATAAAGACCTGTGACTTGGTGTGAGAGCTCTCTCATCTCTCACTCCTCTCTCACATTATTTCTTTAGCATTGTTGTTTTCCCATATTTATTTTTAGTGTCAGATATTGTTTACTTAGTAACCACGCGCGTGTGTTTTTCCCCCTACCCTAGACGTCGGTTTTCTCTTTTTTTTGGTTATTTAATATTCGTTTGCTTGGTTAATAATAAATTGGTTTATTGTTGAAACATTTGTTGTTTGCCTCTTTTATGTTGCGGTATATGAGCCAGCCGTGACATAGCGTTATAGGCTAAACTGTTTTTAGAGATAAAACTATTTACATTCAGCAATCATGAAAACAAATCTCAGATAACGATAACGGTTATCTGAGATTTGGATAACGATTCTCAAATCTCAGATAACGGTTGACTAGGTAACAATGTGTAATTAGACTAAAGGTTCATTTTGCGCCGGAGTTGTCCTTTAATAATTAAATTGTTTAACAAAACAATTTAAAAAGATAATTGTGACTTTTTGTTTCACAATTGCAAGTTTACATCAACAGTTTACATTCTCAAAATTAAAACTTTATATTTCACAATTCTGGCTTTATTTATAATTTGGGAGTTTATATCTCATTCTGACTTTCATGCAATTGTGAGTTCATATGTCACAATTCTGACTTTATAACTTACATTTAGGAGTTTATATCTCACAATTCTGACTTTATAAGTAAGGCCCAAAGTACACCGTAAGTACTCGTATTGTAAAATAAAGTGCAATCACTTTAGTCTTGTGTAAAGTAAAATGTAATGTAAAGTCTTACATTTTCTTCAAGCTGTGTTTTAACAATTAGTCAGACTGCTTTTATAGGGTGTTTTTTATATGCTGATTTTGAAAAGATCCGGTAACTTGAGAAACCTTATCTGGTGTTGTCTGAACTCTTCTGCCCGCCGTTTCTGCATGTCATCCAGTTCATCAATTGGCACAAACCGGTTTGCAAGATCGGTCTTTTGGCAGGTACAGGGCATTGGATTCTCATTGTGAAAAGGCCCTATACTGAGACATGCACACACAGACATTTTTTTTTTAAATTAAAAACACAAAAACAAGGAAAATACAAAAAAGTGAAATTAATATACTCACTTTATTTTGGGAAAGTCTGGAACCTCGGTATCCTTGAGACATTGGAAACTTGAAAACCTTTTGGGTGGATCAACCATAAACCCATATTTGAGTACAATTTACATAACCAAATTATAAAATTTCTTCCTAAACCATCATGAGGCTACTTTTAGGGTTTTACTATCATAACATTTGTATTTGTAATATGGTTGGTTGATTCATGGATTTGTCAGGCAACCTCAAGCTGTGGTTTTCGAATTTGCGAGAATAAGAATGACAAAACGGTAAGGATTTTAACAGCAAGAATTAAAGACTATATGAAGAGTTCAGATGCAAAAGCCTCTAAATGCCATTTGAAATTTTCTTCTTTAATGATGATTTTCATCAAACTTGTATATTTAAGTTCAGTAATTTCACTTAAATGGAAATGATAATTATCTATTAATTGTTATTTAAGTGAAATTACTGAACTTAAATATACAAGTTTGATGAAAATCATCATTAAAGATGAAAATTTCAAATGGCATTTAGAGGCTTTTGCATCTGAACTCGTCTTCATATATATACATATATATTTTTTGTTGAAACAATATTTTATTCATTTCAAAATGTTGCTAAAAAAACCTATTATGCAACAAATAAATAAAATAAATTTCACGGAAGGAAGATGCTATTATCTTTCAACGGATGGTAAAAATGTAGGCTATTATTATTACCCACAAATGAAAGGTTGATAACGGCAAGTAATAAATTCCTTACACAGATATACAGTATTTTCTATTATTTAAACATCTCGAACCTTTTCAGTATGACTATGTACTGCTTCGGGAAGTTTAACTTCAACTAGATTTAGAAACACTCTTAAGGGACTAACATTTCAGTAGCCCGATACGGGTGTTGTCATTATCATTCAAATCAGACACATTCAAAACATTTTACGATCCCTGATTTAAAAATGTGCTTCGTGAGTCAAATCTAAAGTCATATCATTGATCTGAGTGAATCAGTACACATTAGGAAAGGTACAAAAATAATTTAAAGGGTCATTTCAGGTACAGAGTGATGTAGAAAAGACAATAAAGTGACACATATACCTTAATAACGGTGTTGTTGAGATTTTTCTCTTAAACTCCCAGTCAGAATAAAAGAACATCAGCAATCCCGTTAACAGAACGATGACTAGGCCTACAGTTTTGCAGAGTCCAACTGAAACCATGTTTAAAGATAGTCCGAGGTGTTTTTACCTGGTGAAGAGCTGCAGGTGAATGAGGGAGTGGCAGGACTCCGGTGCCAGTGAAGTGTGATGTGTGGTCATTTACAGCTGCCAGCCTATTATTTCAATTCACAGATAATAATTTTCCCAGATTGGCCATTGCTTTCACGCGTCTCCTTAGAACATGTTTAACCCTTAAGAACCCGGACCAATTTCCTCTTATAGGAAAATTATGGGGTATATAAAACACACTAAATGGACCACTTAAAACATGTTTCTGCTGTTGTTGTTTTTTTAAGTACAACCACTCCTTTCCAAAGATCTGTAATGTTACATGTCACATTAGGTGTTTATGATACATTTTTTATGTTACATGTCACATTAGGCTTTTATTTCTCATTTGGAAAAATAAAACAATTTTGTCAGTTTTCTTGCTAAATAACTTTTTTTTTCTTTTCCACAACATTTTCAAAAATTTTCTAGGAAGATTTTTTCTTTTTAAGAAGTAATATTTTTTGCATTTTATTTGCTGTGCCACAAAACCACATAACTGTGACCATAACTGTGACCTTTTCATGTATACGGTTTAATCAGAAATCATTTTAGTTTAGGTTATTAGTTTATAATGACGTGAACAGTCCCTTTTTGATAAAAAAGAGCGGCTAATTTCCAGCCGTAGTCCCTGGCCAGTTGTCAATAGGCACATCAATGAAATACATTACAACTACACTTTCTTTTCTCTTCTATTCTATTTTAAAAATAAATAAAGAAATAAATTTTAAAAAATGCACTAAAATTAAACTGAGAGGGGTTATAGCACTTGTCCTACTGTTAGTTTAACTGCTTCTATTGTTCTCATTTGTAAGTCGCTTTGGATAAAAGCGTCTGCTAAATGAATAAATGTAAATACAGGACTTATCAAGAGGGGACGGACATACTAAACATGCGACACAATTCAAACAAATAGACAAGCAGACACAGGCATAACAATTCAAGCAACACGATGCAACACGACACAAACAAAATTCACACAGAGGCCACATTAAAGCACATACGGGATATAACATTGAGGCAGGCAGCAGAAACCAAGCGGCAGCAGCATGATCATGTCACATCAAATACACAACACATCTGTCAAATTAATGTGTGCCGCTGTAAGCGTCAGACAGACAGTTTTTAAGAAGGTGGAATATGTATCTGTATCTTTGATTGTAGTGGGCAGTGAATTCCAGTTTGTATCGCTTTAACAGAAATTGATAGTTGACCAAATGTGCTTTTTTTATTATTTATATTTTTTATTATATTATTATTATTTTATTTATTATTATTTTTTCACAACTCGAAAATGTGCAAACTGTATAAAACTAAATGACTACTTCACACTGGAGGTCAACATGTTGAACATGCATATAGTGCCATAACATTGCAAAATTCTACCGTTTCAGGTATACAGTTTAACCAGAAATACATTTTTTCATTATTTTTTCACAACTCAAAATGTGCATATATATATATATATATATATATATATATATATATGACTGTGTGTGTTTGTGCAGATGGAATCACACAGAGAGCAGGTGGATGGTCACTCAAGAATAGTCTTTACTGAGCCTGAGACAAACAGGCTGACACAAACAACCAAAAGCTGGTTAGTGGGCAGTGCATTCACGCATCAAATGTTGCTCACAGATCAGCAGGAGAGATGTGAAACTCTGCTCGTACATTTTAAAAAGTGATCGTATAGTGGAATTAAAATGAAAATAAGACATTAAAGAAATAAAGTACAACTCACTGTCTCTGTTCTCATTTCTCATCAATTTACAATTGCAGACAGACAATACATTTAAGCAACCAACATTTTCATATTTTTGGTATAAAATTAAAAACAGAAAGACAAGAAAAGCCACCTAAAATGGCGCCGTTACTCAGTTCAGCACGTGCAAGCACACAGCACATTTGAGCACACACCACGTGTGCTAATGCTAACAATTAACTCAGCTAATACACCCTTGTGAAAAAGAAGTGTGCTTAATTGTATTGAAAGTGTACTTTTTGAAAAGTGTACTTGCAGATAATATAATATAATTACAATTAAAGACCACTTAAGTTTAACTTAAAGTAAGTACACTTTCATCACATTATTTATAAACACACTTAAGTGCACTTTTAAAAATGCACTTTGTAATAATATGTAATTAAGTTTAACTTAAAGTAAGTACACTTTCATGACAATATTTATAAACACACTTAAGTGTACTTTTAAAAAAAATGTACTTTGTAATAATGTCTAATTAAGTTTTACTTATAGAAAGTACACTTTCGTGATCATATTTATAAACACACTTAAGTGTACTTTTTACAAATGCACTTTGTAATAATATCTAATTAAATTTTACTTAAAGTAAGTACACTTTCATCACAATATTTCTAAATACACCTAAGTGCATGTTTTTAAAAAATAATTTTTTAATAATGTCTACTTAAAGAAAGTACACTTTCATGTTAATATTTCGAATCACACTTAAGTGCATGTTTAAAAAAATTCCCTTTTTAATTGTGTCTACTTAAGTTTTACATTTGAAATAATTATAATTTCATAGTGTTTTAAAGTTATTAAAGTTATAAGTTATTAAATGAAATGTATTTTGATAAATTGACTAATATACTAAATAAAATAATAATTTTAATGGAAAACATGGAAAGTAATTCATTTTAATTTCAACTCAAGTGTGTTGTCCAAAAACAATTAGTTCATTTATTTTAAATGTGTTTAATCTAGAATATATTGACTGTGTGCATTAATGCACTTGGAATGTGTTTTTCCAATAAATTTGCAATACAGTATAATCCAGGACAACTTATTGTTGACATTTTTTGTCAGTTTTCTACATAATATATGACAATAAAATGTAATTTATGAGAGGAGTTTTAGCATAACAGTAATGTGTTGTACTTTACATATGTGAGAAAGTCTACACTGAACAAAAATATTGACTTTTAGTTGGCTTTGACTTTTGACTTTTAGTAAAAAAGTTGACTTTTAGACTTAGAGTATAAAAACACAAAGAGTTAGAACAACTTCAACTTAAACAGAAAAGTTGAAATAAAAATATACTGTATATGAACACGGTGTTTAATGAGCATGCGCCAGACGTCACGATGACGCACTACTTCCCTAGAGTTTAAAAAAAGCTGTTGTGTTTCTGCAATCGCGATGCATGAGGAAATGAAAACAAGAAGAGAACAAAAGGAGCACCACGTTTGGCTGTTTGCAGATGAGATGTTATACTGCAAATAATTAGTCAAGTAAGTATATCTTGATGCTTTCCTTATTGATTTTTTTCACCGCAGTTGATATTGCGATGAGTGCTTTTTAATCGCAGATAGTAACGTTGCTATACGCGATATAGATTCGGGAGCTAAATTGATCATGTTTCCAATAATTTATGTGTGACGCTGATGAGGTAATTCATCACATCACACATTCATCAACAGTTAGCAGTCAAAAGTTTACGTACACCTTGCAGAATAAACTGCTTCATCAGGGTAGTACTAAACAAAAAGACAACATATACATTTTTGTGAACATTTTGCAGATACTGCAAGGTGTATGTAAAACTTTAAAGGGAAAATATCTATCACTTTCATTCATTTGAGCCAAATTTAATAATGGACTGGATCTGTTTTATAAACAAATGTTTTCACTTTTTTTTTTTTTCCTCAAGGTATTTTTTCCTGACTTTCCTGCCTCTTAATTTGGAACAAATCCATTCACATTTACTTTGGAGAGCACCGGGACATTGACATAAACAGGACTTTCCAACTACTTCAAAACATTTGGTGACAAATGATTTTGGTTTTCTTGTTTTTTTGCCTTTGGATTTCTTCATTTTTATTTTATTTTTTAGACAAAATTATATTCACTGTAATGCTGAAGTAAGTATTTTGTCCTCTTTAATGTTGGTGCTACGAAAAGGTTTAAGAGCTAAAATTAAAACACTTTAATTAGGTCTCATTTGTTAATATTAGTTTATGTATTAGCAAAACATGATCTAAAAAATTAGCATTTTTTACAGTATTTATTAATCTTTTATAATATTAGTTAATTCAAATGTAGTTTGTTAAAGTTAGAACAATTTATAGTTATTGTTCATACAAGTTCACAGTGCATTATACTTTTAGTACACAACTTTTGAATATAATAATGCATTATTAAATGTTGAAATTAACATTAAGGCTAACAAATGCTTCAAGTATTATTCATTCTTAGTTCGTGTTAACTGAAGGAGTTAACTAATAATACCTTTTTCATTACCTATTTGAATCTTAGTGTTCACATTTTGCAGTATAACATGACATTTTGTTTGTATTAATTCATGGGTTGTGTATTTGATGTAATGTGTGTTTGCTTCTAAAATGATGTTTGTACTGGTAATCCCTAGGTTATGGAGACCAAATTACCCCAAAAGTATAGTAATACCAGTAATTTACATGGAAACAATCTTATAAATCATACAGAATTATGTTTTCTGAAAATGTCTAAAATTCTGTCATCATATACTCACCCTCAACTTACATTTAAGTGATCTTATGAATCACTGACAACTCTTAAATAACTGGTTTGTAAATAATGCTATACTTCATTAAGAAATTATTAATTGATCATTAACAAAGTATGAAAATACAATTATTAAACACATTATAGATATGCTTATAAATCAAGAAAAAAACATTTATTGCTGTATTTAGAAACTTATTATTAATGTCTATTAATGCTTTATAAATGATTAACTGTTAACTCATGCTTATAATGAATAATAGTGTGCAGTTAAGTGTTACCTTTCTTTCTTCTGCTGAACACAACAGAGATATGTTGAGAAATGTCAGTAACCAAACAGTTAACTGGTCCCATTCACTTCCATAGTAGGAAACAAAATACCATGGAAGTCAATGGGACCAGTTAACTATTTGGTTACTGACATTTTTCAAAATATCTTCGTTGTGTTCAGCAGAAGAAAAATTCATACAGGTTTGAAACAACTTGAAGGTGCGTATATAATGACAGAATTTTCATTTTAAGTGTTGTAACCGTTTGTTTCTTGGGTTTTTTCAGAAAGGTTTTTATGTATTTATTTTAGAGATTGTTTTGTCAGT